GGAGATTATATCGATGAACTTCATCTCGGCATTACCTATGCTGAAGGATGTGGCTCCGTAATGGTAATTATGGATCGGTTTTCGAAATATGGAACGTTTATTCCAGCCCTACGAGATTGCACGGCCAAAGAATCCGGACGACTATTCTTCAAGAATGTCGTGAAGCATTGGGGACTCCCACGGAACATTATAAGTGACAAAGATCATCGCTTTACCGGAAATTTTTGGAGAGAGTTATTTAAAATCATGGGATTAGATCTCCACTTCTAGACTATTTTTCACCCTCAGACCGATGGCCAGACTGAGAGGGTGAATCACTTGCTCGAGATTTACCTAAGACACTTTATGAGTGCAAACCAGCGAGATTGGGCCAAGTTGATTGATGTGGCCCAATTTTCTTATAACTTACAACTAAGCAATGCTACAGGAAGGTGTCCTTTTGAACTTTCTACGGGTCAACAACCGTTAACACCACACGAACTAACTAAAAGCTACAAAGGATCAAGCCCTCTCGCATAAGTTCGCAAAAGGGTGGAATGAAGAACTCGACATAGCAAACTCTTACTTGAATAAGGCAGCCAAACGAATAAAGAAATGGTGGATAAAAAAGGAAGCCAAAAGAGTTCATTGTGGGGGACGAAGTAATGGTAAAGCTTCCCCAAAGAATGTTCAAATCTACCCGACAAGTACATAAAGGCTTGACTCGAAGATACGAGGGGCCTTACAAGATTGTTGAAAAGGTCGGGACACGGTCATACAAAATCGAGTTACCAGCCAACTTGAAGATCCACCCCGTATTCCACATAAGTCTCCACAAACAATACAATCAAGACAAGTAGGAACCATCTAGAAGTGAATCGCACTACGCCCCAGTCGCCAATGTCGTCTCATATGATAAGGAGGTGGATGAAATCTTAGCCGACAGAGTGGTTCGCAAAAGAGGATCGCCCAACTGGACAGAGTATTACGTACGATGGAAAGGATCACTAGAGAGCGAATCTAGCTGGGAGCAAGAACCATATTTATGGCAGTTCCGTGACAAGATCGACGCTTACTGAACTAAATCTTGACGAGGACGTGAAGGACTTTGGTGGGTGAAGGTATCACGAACCGTATCTATAATATTCTGAAGTACTCGAGAAGCTGGTGGAGTATGCTAGTTTGACCCGGAATATCCTAGAGCGTCCTAGAATTCTCTAGGACATCGAAGACTTATCTTGATCTTTATAGAATCATGTAAACAATTAAATATCTAGATAGATTATTCTAGAATAGTCTTGTATAAAGAAAGAAGTAGAAGCATCTAGAATATTCCGATGAGGAGGTGTAATGACCCTATAAATAGGGGTGTAGCCATTTGTTCCAAGATCATCGGAAGTTGTCTTGTATTCTCTTGAGTTCGTATAATAGAAGCTCTCTTTCGTTTGTAGTAACTCTCAACCTTTGTCTCTTGCTTTCCAAGTTGTTAGTACACCTTCGAGGAATCGTAGTAAGCCTGACTTAGTAGAAGAAACACTAAGTGGCACACGGTGATCGAGTACCCCGTGACATGCATAGTTATCAATTATCATAAGAGAAATTAAATATCCTCATACTTTTCTTCCTATTTATCTTCCTATCAATTTGAAATAATGATAAGTGTCTTAAATTATTATTAATTTTATCAAAATATGATATATATATATATATATATATATAATATATATATATATATATATATATATATATAGACACACACATTTAAACAAATATGCTTATCTACATGCAAAGCAAAAAAAAATTGTTCATTTGCACATATACTATATGCATACGTGTATGGAAAAAATCTTATGCATATAATATATAGCTATATGCATATGCACATATGCTATATGTATGTGCATATGAAAAAAAAAACCATATGTATATAGTGCATGTACATATGATATATGAATATGCATATTTATATGGAATTTTTTTTATATGTCTATAGTGTATGTGCATACACACATATATTGTATATGTATATGCATAAGAAAAACAAAATTACATACGCACATACACATATGCATATGAAAAAAAAAATCTTTTATCCACATGTAATTTCGACACCAAATTTCACATGTTTAATGCCATGGTATGACAAATGAAGAGAGTTGCAAAAAAATATTAATTTTTTTAGCACGTAAATATGAATATTACATACGCATACGCATATTTTTTTAAAAAAATATTTTTCAAATTGTTTTAAAAAATTATGAATATACATAAAAAAATATGAATATGCCTTAAAAATGCATTTATTTGAAAAATTCTTTCTTTAAATATTCATTTCAAAATATATACAAAATATTTGTAGAAATAAAAAAAAAATAGTTTTTAAAAAAATCAATTTTTTTTAATTAAGCAAAATTATTATATACATTTCGAAAATATTTATTAAAAATTAAAAAAATATATATATTCTTGACGCATATTCATATGTTTTTTATGCGTATATATATATATATATATATATATATATATATAATATATATATATATATATATATATATATATATATATATATATATATTATATATATATATATATATATATATACATGAAGAAATTATTTTTTTCGAATGTTTAGATTTAGCAAATGATGATTTTTGTTATGTATTTTTGAAAAATATTATGTAGAATTTTTTTTTTTCAAATTCCTAGTGTTTTGTGGTTCTATATATATATATATATATATATATATATATATATATATATATATAATATATAAAAGGACATGATCTTTTTAAAACATATATATTCATAAGAACCCGATAATCTAAAAATAGATTTAGATTTTTTTTTAAAAAAAATATTTATGTACTTATAAATGTGCATATATAAAAACTTTTGTTTAAAAGAATATCAAAAAGAAAAATGTATATATGGATATATGTGCCACGCAAATATGTATATATGCATATTTCGTATATACATATTTTTTTGAAATTTGTTTAAACAAAAGTTTTTATATATAAACGTTTTAGAAGTGTAGAATATATATATATATATATATATATATATATATATATATATATATATATATATATATATATATATATATATATATATATATATATATATATATATATAGAGAGAGAGAGAGAGAGTGTGTGTGTGTGAGAAAAGTTATCAACTACTTATCAATATATGAATTCTCAAAAAAAAAAAATTGAATATATATTCCCACACGGAAGAGTGAATATACCGTATAATGTATATAAGCTTAGGTACCCAAACTCAGTATATGATGTCATTTTGTATCATATATGTATTATAATGTTCTTAAATTTAAACCCATAGTTTGATTTAGTTCCAATATTTCCGAAATTTTACTATTATCTTCATCTTATATATCATCTTTCTGACAAACACCTTATAGATTACATATATTATAATTGAAAATTAAAATTATATAAGAGGAAGATAATTGTGAAATGTCTAAAACAGTGGCGGAGGGATGGAGGGGTTGCCGGATGCCTAGCCCCTCCAATATAAATATTATTTTGATATATATACTCAAAACGCAGTAGACCACCATCTAATTTATAAGGCCATATAATAATATAAACAGTCTAAATTGATAAGCCCCTTATGATTTGTTAATCTAATAAATTATAAGCACAAAATCCCAAGTAATATCTTATTTTAATTTAATTGGCATAAATGCATAACCGGCAGTTGTGGGGTTTAGAATTAAACCTAGCCAGAAAGATGCATATGCCATATCTCCTTTTAATTAAACGAGGAGTTTGAAGAATCGTCTCTTGCTTTTTCTACCGCTATGGTAATTAATCAAGGTAACATTTAATTTTTATTACATTAATTTGTAATTGATAATAATTTCAATTAGTAAGTAGCCCTTTGTTTATAAATAATATTTTTAATCGATTATTCATCGAGAGTTCAAGACAAATTGTAGTTATTTTTATTCGTTGAGGAGGTTAATTTCCGGTTAACAAATTATTTTCGGCTATACTTTTGAAGATTAGGTTAACAGAGACAAATTTTTAATTCTTTGCGATTTTTTCTTTTAAAATTCTGGACCTATTACTTTATTTGTATATAACATTATGTTTTAATATATTATTATGATACAATGTTGCCATTCATAATTACTTTTATTCGTTAAGGAGGTTAATTTTCAATTAACAATTTGTTTCCAGCTATATTTTTGAAAATCTAGGTTCATGGAGAAAAAATTTTAATTTTTTGTGATATTTTCTTTTAAAATTATAGACCTATTATTTTGTTCGTATATAACATTGTGTTTTAATATATTATTATGAAGCAAGGCTCTCAGCCCCCTTTATTCCTAAGTCCTAGCTCTGCTCCTGGTCTAAAAATATTATAAGTAATCAAGTTAGGAGTTGAATTGTAAGAACTTTGGACGATTACTATACATATATGATATAAAACAATGTAGTATGGTGAGTGTGGATATTTAAACTTATAAACCGTTTAGGGTATATATATATATATATACCTTAATAAGCATTTAGCCTCAAATGTTGAATTTTAAGAGGTACAAACTATAAAACGATTTGTACAATCAATTTATACGATACAAAAAATATAAATCTTATTTGGTCAAAATTCAAAAATCTTTTATCGTTTGACTGAGCCCGTTTACAAACTTTCAAACTGAAAATACAATAGTACAATGCATAGGCTTCCTTATTTCTTGGGATTCTTTTGACCCAATCCTTTGATCCCTGAGTCGTCTTTGAAGCCTTAGATCCTGGCAAAATTTTATCAATTCTGGTTCATCCTCCCTTATATCATGGCTTTGCTTCTTCGCTGAAATCATTTCTCGTTTTACTGCATCAATCGTAAAGCCCTAAGACCCATCACCAACATCGTTTACCCCTGTCACACCACCACTGAACCACTTGTGCTGCTTTATCCTCTCTGTGTCTTTCTAAAAAAAGCCCTAAATCCCTTATCTCCCTCTTTCTTGGCCGGTCCAGATAAACGAGATGTGTCTGCCTCCTTCCGCATTGGCATCTACCTTGTCAAGCACGTTCAAACGAGATGTCCTCGCTCATTTCACACCCACCCTAATTTTGCAATCCACCTTTCTGCAATATGTCATTGAAGCCGAGTATTCGATACTGGAGAAGGTAGGTGAACTTAAAGTCTACAAGCCATGGTACACATATTTTGAAATTTTGTAATATTAGCATTAATGTTCGATTACGAGTTTTTAGTTTACGAAACAGATCCTCTTTTTCGTTTTGCTACTGTTAACGATTGTGCAGAGAGATGTTGAACAGGTTCTTCGATTTCAAACGATTTCTATGCTTTAAACACCTTGTTTTGATATTTTGTAACTGTGTGCGTTTAATTTTGTCATTCGCAGGGTTTTCTGAACGGCATGCTGGACATTTGTAGGCTTTTTTTTTGCATCTAGGTACCCTTAATTTTTCATTTTAAGCAGTAAAAGTTTTGTTCTTATGCAGTTACGTATGCAGATGAAATTTCTATTGGTTTAGATTTCATATCCTTCGTTTGTTCATATTTACAGTAATTTATTCAATTTCTTTAAACCTTACAAATATGTTTGATTTTGAAGCTTTTGATATGTCTGTTTCAAGGTAGTCAATCTTGATCTGATGAAGGGGGCTTATGTTTTCCATCTTTCTTTGTTGCTCAAATATTATTTGAAGGTATCTCCCCTGTTCCTCAGTTTGTAACTGAGTTTATTTGTATATTAAGAAAAACTGACAATATTTTTAGCCATTTGATTAGGATTATATAGTTTCTTCATTGTGTTTTTTATTTTGTTTTAAAGCACAAACATATAATCCTGGTTTTGTAGTAATATCTTTAAAGGGTCTTCACAAGATTAAATCATGATTATCTGTTAAGTATCGATTTTGTATTTGAAGTCTATGCTTGTATTTAACTCTCTTATTTCATATAGAGATTGATTAGGTTGACATGTCTATTAATCTGTTATTGGGGGCTTATTCCTATTAGTTGTTGATTTAGTGTTAGTTTAATATCAAACTGGAAGAATGGAAAACATGAATTAATATTGGGTATCATTTTGTATTCCTTTTCTGTTCACGAGAAGGTGTATGAAGATGAAAAGCTGAGAAAAAACAAGAAACAAGTTGATGATTGATGATTGATGATTGAGTTACGTGATCTAGAAGGTAATGGTGGGAATTAAGTATTCCATTGGGCTATTTTATTTCTGCTTATTGTAAAATTTATTAAAAAAAACATTGGAATAAAATGCTATAGTAAGAAAGTAAATGAAAGTATTTGTTGTTTCTTGGGAATGGAATTGGATAAACGTACTTTATTTTTCAAAATTTAACGCAAAATCATCGTATTTTTGTTTTATACTATTTTGTAGGAAATTGAGAAGTTTCTACTTTGATTCAAAGGAAAAAGGTATAGTGATGGCAGATTTGTCCCCCCCCCCCCTCTATACCCTCTGTTTAATTATATGTTTGTGTGTTTAATTGTGAGTTTTTGTTTACAGGTACTGAAATGTACTGAAATGGTTGTTAACAGTGTATGCATAGAAGACTCTTAAAGGTTTTTGTTCAATTGATTTTTGTTTCTAAAAGTTACCATGTCAGGTAAATTGAGGTTTTTCTTTTTAATTTTGAAGGCTTTTGCTTTTGAGTCAAATGCAACCCATGTTTTGATTCTGAAAGCTTTTGTTTGTTTTACATTCTAAGGTAAAGTTGAGGTTTTTGTTTGTTTATTCAAATAAGCTTTGTTTGTCTAATGTTTTAGTGATTGATAGCAAAGTTCAAAGTAATTTAAATAATTTTTGGTTCTTTGGATTTAAAAGTAATTCAATTCTATTTGATGGGATTGGTTTATGTTTTGGTAGGATTTTTCTATCTTTTTTTGGTTGGGTTTAAAGTTGGAGACATGAGTCCTATAAAGTAAAAATGACATGGGAGTGAAAAGAATATGAATTGGTTATCTTTGTAGCTGAAAACTATATGCATAGTAATTAGTACATTGCCAATGACCAAAGTTGTCAAAAGTGAAAGAGATGATTCAGTTTTATAAGTGTAATCACGTTTTGTATTTTAATGTTTAAAGTTAATATTTTTTCATGTGTTTCTTCTATGAATTGTTTTTAATTTTAATAAATAGTTGTGAGGTCTATTATATTCATGTTGCCTTTGAAATAACGATATACTTTTTGCTAAGACTATCAAAAGGAATACACTGATTTTATACTTTAAACAAAAATTTGATTCAAACGTATATATTTTGTTTTACATTTTGGCAGTCAAGTTGTAATGACTTTTTCTTTTACCCTTTTTTTTTAATTTCTTTGAATAATATTTATAAAAATTAGCTTATCGTCTATAGAATTATATGGTATTAATAATTTACATGAATAAAGTTAGATTGAAAATACTCTATTGTGTTTTCATCAATTCTTTTATCTAAAAAATAATTGGTCTGGTCTCTTCATCGGGTTACGGTTCGACCGACCGCTTCGACTTGGGTTTTAAAGCACATATAATTATAAATCATTCAATTTATTAGACTAAAAATATTTTACATTTAACATGAAAGAAAATTACAAATATGCCACTTGTATATTTTCTATTTTGGTTCAAGGGCAAAATAGTTGGATTTAAAAAAAGAATTGATAGTTGTTTTGGTTTAAGAAAAAAAAATCACTTTTAGGACCAAACTTGCAAAAATAGCCAAACTTATTGATGGAAAATGTAATTTACTCAATATTGCGAAAAGTATTTTTATGGTTAACCATTAAAAGTTTGTTATTTTTTTGAAATAAACACAACATAAAACTTTTAATTATATTAAAACCGAAACAACAACATACATTTATATTTAAAAAAGAAAAAAACAAACACAACATACATTATATAGATTTTTCATGTTGAATGATATTTTTCATAGTATGTTTTTTTGGAAGGACATGTTTCATAAATGAACTATGGCGGAAGGAAAAATTTACGAAAAAGAAACTATTCGATGTTTACAAGGAAAAAACAAATCGTACTTTTATTTTTAACCAAAGACAAAACTGCAAAAATGATCCCTGTGGTTTCTCATTTTATGTGGTTATGGTCCAAAACGTTTGAAAAGTTGCAGATTTGGTCCTTCTCAACAAGATTTGTTGTGGTTTTGGTCCCTCATCCGTTAAGTTTAACTAGTTGGCTGTTAACAATTATAAGTGGTGGTGGTGACCGAGTGAAGGATTCCAATGGAACTTATAATTGTTATAGGGGTTTGTTGCGCATTATGTGAGATATGAAGGATTCCAGTGGAACTTAACGGATGAGGGAACAAAACCACAACAAAACTTGTTGAAAAGGACTAAATCTGCAACTTTTCAAACGTTTGGACCATAACCATATAAAATGAGAAACCACAGGGACCATTTTTGCAGTTTAGTCTTAACCAAAAATACCAACGTATATTATAGATATATATATTTTAATGATAGATGATATATTGTTGGTGCATTAAGTGTTTTTTTTTAATGTCATGTATTGCATGCTATTCGTATTAAGACATGTTTTCAAAAAAAACTAATCACCGAAAAAGAAATATTCTTCGAAAAAAACTCTTCATCGCACCCACATTCAATGTCCGTCGTCGAATTGAAACTCATCATTGTCTGTCGAAAAAATTAATTGCCGAAACAAACTTATTATGTGTTCATGTAGTCATGTACATGTGTAAAGAATCTCAAATTTTTCATTTTAATTGTTATTGATTTCGTTTACGCTAGTATGACTCTTATTGATAATTGTTTAGATGTAATAAACAATTTGTGCAAAAAAAATTAATCGCATATAGAAACTAATTTCTGAAAAACTATTCGAACTCGTCGCTTGGCACGGGTAAACGGCTAGTATATATATATATATATATATATATATATATATATATATATATATTATATATATATATATATATATATATATATATTCTTGCATGTGAGTGATGATATAAGTGCTCTCTCTTTCATAAAGACAAATCTTTCATCTTTAATGTCTCTGGAACAGCCAACCTTTAAGTACCATTTCCATGTGAAGTTTCTGATTCTTCTTTAAATTTACCAATGATAAAGTTTTAAAGAAAACTACACTCTAGTTTCGGCTCATGAGCCAATGGTTATCGTTCAACCAACTTTAGCAGCGTGACTTTTATAACAATGGAGTTTACTGTTTAGAAACCCTGCTAATTAAGTACGCGCACAAGGGTATACAACTCAACTTCTAATGTAAAACTAATGCTAAGCGGTTGGATGTAACAAACACACAAAAATGGAAGCAAAACTTAAAACATATATTCAAGCTAGATACTATTGTAAACCTTTTATTGGCTTTAATAAAAAGTTAAGACCGGCTTTATTTTAACTGTATGTGTTAGACAAGTCTTTAAATGGGGACATCAACTAGTGAGATCAAAGTGGTGGATATGAATATGATGGTATTGATAAAAGATGGATAAAGTAGGATTTCATGTTCAACTTGTATACTCTATTGAATTTAATACGATAAAATCATCCGTTTTTATGTTGGTTTGATCCGTATAGAACCTCATCCCAGGCTTGATTTTACCGGTGTTGGTTTAATACGTACATCAGTTAATGGGTTTCATGTGAGATCGACTTTGGAATTATTATATATTTTAAACGTCTACTAAGAGATAGTTCGATCAAAGTCTTTTAGTGTTGCAACTTGGTTAAGAGAATGTAGTTTTCTTTAACCGTTTATAGGTTTTTGAATTCTTCTAATGGGTGTATCAATCATGATGAATATTGGCTAATTCATAAATGAACTCATAATGGGTTCACTTTTAGGTTATAATCAGAGCGATTAATAAAAGAAGTCTAACTACTTTCTTTGGGAAATGATTCCTTTGTCGACATGAATATATGAATTACTCGATTATATAATTTATAAAATTTATTTGGAGCCAAATACAACTTATATATGAATCACGTATGTTAAGAATCAAGTTATAATCAAATTTATAGATATATTTATAACTTATATGACACAATTTTGAGTTAATTAGAAATGTATATTCAATAACCAAGCATAAAGTATATATGGAAGTGAGTGTTCTTTATCTGTTCAATTTAAATTTTCAAATACTGTCCAATCACGTTATCTTTCTTTTTCTTTGTCCTTTCAAATCACCTATTTGACGTCTTTTCAAGAGTTGGTACACTTGAAGAAGGGTAATTCTAAAGGCACGAACCATATTCCAACTACACAAAAATTTGATGTGCCGTCAGTCAATGTCAAACACAAATTTTGATTGACCGTATATCAATTTTATTTTTATTTATAATTTTTTTTATAAATTTATATATATATATATAATATATATATATATATATATATATAGAAGTGTTTACTTTAACCCTTATTCTTTTATAATCTTGTTGTTTTTTATGATTCTTGTTTAAGATTCCAAATCATCCTTTTTAATATCAAGTAATATATAAATCCAAATATATATTGCCTAGCCGTTTTTATCTTTATTTTTATAAAAAGCTTTTTTCAATTGTGTGTAACATTAGTTATGTTTTGGTTTAATATTTTATATTGTATTGATGAATAATAAATATAATCCTGGTATTATTTCAAACACGTTTGATTTTACGGACATATATATATGTTATTTCATTACGTGGATAAAAAATATATGTTATTTTCATAAATAATGATATATCTAAGTGTCAAAAACCATATGAAATAAAAGAACAAACATAAATATTCAACTTAAGAACCATAAACATATAAATTTATTTTTAGTTCCAATTATATAAAATGACACGGTGACACTAAAATCATCAACATCTTTTAAAATGATATGTTTTTTCAACAAATTTTACACTATTTTTTTTCAACATTCATTTTTAGTCAACCGTATTGGACATGTATAGAGAATTAAAAATTAAAATTTATAATATATTTGAAAAACAAAATCGAAAAAATATCATTTCAAAATGGATTGTCAATATATTTATCGCGTTCTCGATTTCATAATTGTTTTCGTTTGAATATATATATATATATATATATATATATATATTATATATATATATATATATATATATATATATATATATGAAAATTTGTCAAAAACATATGTTTTGAATATATTATTATAAAAAAAGACAAACTTTTAAAGTAAAAAGATTTAAAACTTAAAGGGGTAATACAGATTATTGTTATAAGATATAGGGTCTTAAATGAAAATATTTGACAAGTATAATGGATTGGACAGATTGGATGTGAAGGTAAGTAAAAAGGGGACTTTTATGCAATACACGAATTTATTTGTGTATATAGGAGAACCCTTGAAGAAAAAAGAAAATATTTAAGGGATTTTGCAAACGTTTACAAATTTTGGGAGCAAATTTTAAATTTTAGTCATAAACAATTGATGTTCCATCATCATCATCATCAATTGATGTTCCAGCTATATACATGCATTCCGTGGAGGTGAGCTCCATGTGCTCCACGAAATGCAAGGTATCTCTCAGGAATCGATGTGGCAAAAAAATACAAAAACAATTCCGTAGAGAGTAAGCCCTGAAGAACAATTCCGCAGAGTTCCCTCTGTGGGCTCTGTGGAACGACCGTTTTTCGTAATTATCTCGTAACTAATTGTTTCGCGGAATGATAGTTGTATCTCTGCGAGCTCCGCGGAATGGTGTTAACGCTCCGCGGAATGGGTAGGTAGAGTTGGTGATAGGCATTTATGATGTTTTTTTTGGGTCATATAAAAAAATTTTCTTATTTTTTTTAAAATCTTATTTAAAATAAACGAAAATCTAAGTTTTTGGTAGAGAATGTCTTATTTTTCATAAAAAAAATATGAGTTTTGTTATTTTGTATATCAGAGGGTTTTGGCAGTTAATCAATAGAATTAACATGTATGTTAGAACAAAGTTTAACAACTTAGGTTTATTACTTACGTCTAAGTTTGATCGTTAGATATTGGTTGTTTTGGTTAAAAATAAGACACAAATGTTCAATAGTAATATATCTTTGTCTATTCAACACCCAAAT